TGGTGAGATTGCCCGTCGAAGCACTTTTTCAGGCACTTTAATGTGAAATGAAAGTATTCTCGACAATATATTTCACTTTTTACTCGTTTATAAATAGGTTTTCAGTAAAAGACAAAACAATACTAAACGTACTCGATTGCTATAGCAATCGATCCTCTGGGCAAGGGCAACCGTGGCAATGTGACGGAGTGGTTAACACGTCCTGATTCGAGTCGCTCTGGGGATGTTGGTAAGAACTAGGCGGGGTGGAAAGCACAGTCGCAAGTGTGAAATTGAATGAAAACGTAGCGTCTATTCACACCATTGTAGGCAAATACAGCTACTAGTTCCCTTATTGCCCTAAGTTCATATTTCTAATTTATTTTATGTCTTAATTCAATATATACGTCTATCTATATGTGTATGTTTAAATATTTTCCTTTTTACTCGTAAGGTTGTATAAGACGTAGGAGTAAGCTGGGCAGTCTTGTTGCTTCGAGGATGTCGTTCATTTTCACCCAAAACAGGGGAGGACGTTCCAAAGGAAAGCGGGAAAACTGAAGCTTGTCGTCGTCTTCTGGTCAGATGAGTCTACAATTCTCTTCTACACACTCACTTCCACGATGCCATCTCAGACGATTCCTCGAAGCCCAACTACTCTTCGTGTTTTGAGACGGAATGAATGAATGTGTTGCCAGGCCACTTGTCGCGGCCGGGCGCCAAGGCTGCCCACTCACCCGGTACAATGTCGCCGAAGCCGATGGTGGAGAGTGTGACGAAGCAGAAGTAGGACCACTTGAGGTAGTCCTTCGACTCCCAAATGCAGAAGACCACAGCCCCGATGAGAATGTAGACGGCCATGATGAATAGTGTGAGGCAGATGGGCACTGTGCTCTCCTGCTCCGCCTGATCCGACAGCGAAGTGGGCGTCAGCGAGATCTGCCCACCTCCGGTCGAGCTGTGCCGAGAGCCGTGGGAGACGAGGCCGATCGGCGGCCCGGCGGGCAGATGAAGGCTGTAGAGACTGGAGGCCTCTGCCTGCGTCGGCGTCGGCGTCGGCATTGGCGTCGGCATTGGCGTCGACATTGGCGTCGGCGTCGGCGAAGGTGGTGGTGGCGGAGGCGCGGAGAGTCGCCATCGAGAGACACGTCTGTCGGACGTCGACGTTGGCGGGTGTTTCGGAAGCGAAAGTTCCGCGGCGACGGACGGCGACTGGCCGTCTCGGTCGACGTTGGGAAGGAGGCCGGTCGTGGGCGTCGACGGCGTCTGGAGAGGCGTGAGCAGCGAGCGCTGTCGGTCGGGCGGTCTGGCGGTCGCGTAGCCGTTCGCGTCGACGAAACACGTCGCCTCGGCGTCGCCGCTTCGAGTGGGCCCACTCGACTTGGCCACTTTGTTGGCGCGACCGGGGCTGGTGGCCGTGGAAGATCGGCCTCCGGGCTTGGCGAAACCGGCCGACGGTGCAGCGTAGACGTCGACGCCGAGCGCACTGGCCTTGAGACGCCGCCAGGCTGGCCGGCACACGTGGGCGTAGCACAGCCGGAAGACGTCGGCCATGTAGTCGCCGTTGTTCGAGAGGTAGGAGAAGAAGAGCGGGATCCCCACCACGGCGTACATCATCGTCAGGAACTTGCCCCATGACGTCTGCGGAGTCACGTGGCCGTAGCCTTAACGAATGGCAACGCAAAAAGCAAAGTCGAAACAGACGCCATGAATTCGTTTAAAGTAATGAAGCAATGATGCTTCAAGTATTCGCCAAATCAGAAAATTAGGCCTCCAGTTTACACCTCGTCTGGCGGGAGTCGAATCTGCTCTGTTGTCATGCAATGAATAGCCTCAACTTGGTATCCGCTATGCCGCATTT